GGCGGTCTCTCCCCTCCTCTAGTGGCACTGTATGAAAATTTTTGCTTGTTTCTCGTGAATGCAGCGGTTATGGACAGGTACCAAGTGTACCAGGTGAACTGCCTTTGGCGCTCGTAGGCTGGGGGAGGGGGGGGGGCATTTAAAACCGCTGCTAGCTCACACTAGGATTAAGTTCAGGAGAAGGGATAAACACTAGAGTGAAGAAGAAGTGTTCACATTCTCTCCCAGAATCATTCCTTTTTCAAAGCCTAGTCCCAATACTGTAAGTGGCCTACTCACTTGAATGTCCCCACTAACGGTATGAGAGTCGATATGATATGACTTCGATCTTTTTGTGACGACTTTTAGTGTAAATCTTCAAGGCCTTAGATATCCAAATGGATGAGTTCATGTTTCAGATATTGGGAGATGTCTCCGGGGGTCGCGGAGAAATGCCGTAATGCAGACCACGAAGTGCAGTCACAACCAGTGAGTGCCTTGCGCTTTTGATTTTTGCTTCTTACAGTTGGCAATGTTCTGTATTTCTGTATTTCTCTTGTGATCCGATTTACAAGGTTTCTGTCAACCAAAGGGTGAGAGTGTAGATGGAATAGCATACGCTTTTCGTAGTATTGAGATTAAGCCCTTCATGGGAACTCAAGAAAACAGTGAGTATTCCCAGACAGCACCACAAAACGCTGAATTGCCGCCTCACGTGAGCACACTAAGGATAGCTATCATCCTGTGGTGTAGAGCTAGATCTCGAAGGAGAGAAAATAACAAAAATGTCAAGGCTTTCAGCTGTCGATCTTTCGTTTTTGGGATGCGCCATGCACTCTACTTCAATTATAACAGTAGTAGCATTTAAGTGCAGTACTAACAAAATGATGTCCAGCCGATCTACATGTCAGTGCCCTTATCTTTCCAGACAATTGGTACCAATTGATTGATCTCGATGCGGGCTTGGCTGGCCTAGGCAAGTTTCTGTCAGAGGTTCTGCCCTTGGGCCGTGCGCTTAGAAAGTAGCGCCAGTTGCCACTACACTGCCTCCGCTCTTTGATCACCATAACATCAACATGATCACAACAAGGCCGCGTTAAAGAAACAGGCTTTAAATATTCCGACATAACTGAAATGACAAACTTGTGACGGATTGTCAGAGTGAGATAGATTTGCCGCTCATTTTTGCCGAGTAGGCCAGAGTTTTAAACCTTTTTTGTTCAGGATTCAACTTCTGATTCTCACGGAAGCCAAAATGTTAAGCCTATCACAGTGGCGCCTGTACCAAAAAGTGTGTTATCTGGTTTCTCTAAGCATATTTTGAATTTTTGCGATTAGCTGCTGTTTCAGCCTACATTCGCATGCCAAGGAAAGGCTTCCCACCAAATCCTATGCCGGAAAATTATGTGAGGGTGAGTTTGACAGAAAATTGATTCTTGATGTTTGGGAGAGCTTTGTTTAAGCGCATAATTAGCAAAGATATCAGCGAATTGATGTAACTGCTTGCAGCTTGATCAAATCACTGATGAATTGTATGATAAGTTCTGCAAAGAGGTTTTGGATGACGCTCTACAACCATGCACGCCGCAGGAACGAAAACTGCTTGACAATATGAGTTCATCTGGAGACTTTGGAGTAAGTCTTCATACCCTTGCTTCCAATTCTGGCTGATTTTGTGTTGTTCAGGCAGCTGTTGATTTCTACGATGAGATTATGGGAGAATTGCCTGTAGTCATGGTACACATGCGTACTTCAAAGGTGTTCCTCTCCCCATCTCTCAGGTAACTTTTTTCCTGATGTTCGCTCTGAATTCTCCGTTACAGTTATGTATTTCAGAGAAAGGTGTATTCAAAAGGTCATAGCGGTGAAGAAATTGGAAGCGAATCCCATATGTGCGGCACTTGCTCACATCCAGCAGCTATTTGTTGGTTTTCCGCCAGAAATTCGTGTAAGTTCTTAAGTTTTCCACACGAGCTTTATGTTATTGAAGCCTTGTGAACTATCTTTCATAATATTCCTAGTCAATTTTTGATTAAAAGAAGTCATGATTGATAATTTTTTCTCAAAGATCTGACGCTACTATGTCGGAGCGCTTAAGTTACTAGACTTACATAGAAACCTCTAGAAATACCAGCAGTGAGTGTAACGTGATTTGAATTTCATAAGAATTTGTGATCGCTGGTTCAAACAACCTCGTTCTTGCCTTTTGGACTGGTACAGCTTCAATCAAAAACGCGCAGAAACTCACGCTTAATCTCACATTTACCCGAACCTCAAATATTTTACTCACTCTTCCTTCTGAAATATTTCATTCTTATGTTTATGTTCTTAACCGTGTTCAGTCTTATCTCAACAATGCTGAATTATGAGCCTAACAAAAAGCGAATAAGGCAGGCAAAAGCTTTGTTTCCTTGTTACAGTTACGCCACATGTTGGTGGCTGAATTGGAACGGCAAGAGCCGGGCACGCTGTCTGAAGACGACAAACGTTTGATGGCGCTTCCGCCTTCAGCAAGATTCACTGCTCGACCAGTAGGGTTCTTCTTTGATTACTTTTCGTTGGTTCTTCTATGCAGTATAATCTCCTATCCATGAATGAAGTGGTTCTAGGCGGCTCATCTTCGACGTTGTTCTGTGCAAGATACTCCATCGTCTGCACAAGAGCCAGTTACACGACGAGTCTCTTCCAGGTCTGTTATTTCGATTTTTTGCGATCGGCATTTCTGTAAGAGTTCAATAGAGTGACAGATGTATTGCATGATATTGAATAACTTCTCTAAGATTTTTATACCAGTAATTTTTCACCTCTCATTGAAATGAGTTATTGACTAGTCATACGAGTATTGTGTATATGCATTCCGGTCCATTTAGAACTCCCAAGCCCAGGGAGAGGACTACGATGGATTCGAAAGGAGAGATCATTACGATCGATGCGACCGAAACACCTCCACTGTCATCAGCCTCGAAAGCACCGCCTATGAAACCAAAACGTGACTTCTATTTATTTGAGTCAACTTCTTGTAGCAAAATGTGCACTTTAAATGGCAGGAGTCAGTTTTTCTTTTATTTTGCGAAGTGTTTTGCATTTTTCAGCATTATACATAAACATGATGGTACCACTCGACGACGCCATTTACGACAAAATTGCTTCAGTTTTGGCAGAGCGTTGTACACTGGATAGTGTTAGTTTCACTTACTTTGACTAGTTGGACTCGCGTTCATGGTTGATTTTGGCTGAAATCAGAACTGCGTTGTAATCATAATCAACGCGATCACGTTACATTCATTTTATTCAGAAGAAACATGTTATACATCTTGCATCGTTGTTTTCCATAATTGTGAACACATATTTTTAGATCGAAGATGAACCTCTTCGCTTAGCGATCGAAAATATAAGAGACAGCGGCGAAGTAATGGTGGAGGAGTGGACCGAGGAACAGTTTTTCTGTCCACCTGGTTTGCGTTTACGTGCCAACGATGAAGCAGGACGTATTCATCTCAGGAAAAGCGAAGTTCATGAAGTACGTTTTGAGGTTGCTTACATTACCCCTGAGCTACTTTTCATGGTATTTAAAAGTGATGTGTTTAGGTCTGGCGCATGTGTTATGCTACCTTCATGAACGTCCCCAAAGTGAAATCCTTAATGCTGTCGACGCTCAGTACATTGGAATTGCTACGAAGACCAATGTGAGTCTTCAAAAAGCGTAAAATATCAAAGCATTCGGCCTCGATAAACCGCCTCCTGGGGTACGCCACGCATTTCACTTGTTATTTTCGAATCATCTTTTTTCCGAATCGTAGTGGCATTCTGAATGCCATTTGGCTCGTACTAAGAATTCTGGGCAACCGATACGCCAATTCCACGTTTTAGTAAACTGCAGATAAGCCTAGTACGGGTGACTGATCATTGGAGACTGGAAGTTTGTCGCACTGTCTGCAATATTCTCGGAGCATCGCGTGAGCGCGCCAAATCTTTGTACTTCAAACCAAATTCTTGGGAAGAAGTTTGTCTCCGGCATTCATTAGTGAATTAAGTGAACGTAGCTCACGCTGTCGGAGTTCATATATAGGTGGTGTTCTTGAACTTTTTGTGCTACTTTGTTGAATTATTCGTTAATCGTTCATATTGAATGGATAGATTGCGGTTGCTTTTGATATTTTGCCTATTCTTTGCCACACCACGGCCCATCTTTTTTTTTTTTTCTTTGCGACTTATTTTTATTTTCCATCCAATGGCAAAGAGTCATAAGTAAAGAATTTTTTTTCTGCATCTAAACCTGGCCATGATGTTACCTTTGTATAGCAGATGAAGGAAGTCTCCAAGTATGACTTGCTGAAGGAATCCCGCGTGTGTTCGCCTAACCTTATCCCACCCTCGCGAGGGCTCTTGCAAGAAAGCCGATGCATACTTCCAGGTCCTTCACTATTCTTTTTCATTCAAAGTTGCTTTTCAAAAATGCCACATTCTTTTCTCACCAACACGGCTTTCTGAATCAAAATTCGGTCAATTTTTTCGCTCAATATCAGTCTCGACCTTCTCTTTAAGATCGATATAGTTGCTATGGAGGAAACTCTGTATGGAGAGAGATCGTACAACCAAGCACTGTTTCTCACGGATTTGTACTCAGGGTATACATTTGCTCGAGCTTTGACCGATAGCCCTGATCTAGCTATCATAGTACGTCATGTCATGGATATTTTCGGATCTTTTGGTCCGCCGGGTGAGAACAAGTTTACACGCACCGTTGTTTCACCGTTCACGAACCCTGTCAGTCAGAATTTTTTAGAGGTCTACAGGACTCATTCAGCAGAGTATTCACACATAATAGCAGATGTTATGCTAGATATTGAGAGGCTGTTCAAAGTGTCAATCAAAAATATGGGTGCTGGGGTAGGTGACCATTCGCAAGATGTTTTTCTTTTGTTGGTTCTCTTTTTTTTCGTGCTGAAGATACAATTTTGTAATTCTAAATCTAAATTTGCTATGCTTCAGAGAAATTTGACCCGTGACCTTTGTTCGTACTTTGTATCGTCGTGCACACACCGAGTTGTTGGCCACTAACCGCTGGGTGGAGGCGCTGCCATTCGCAGTCATTGAGCAAAATCAGCATCTCGAAATCTTTGATCCAAACAGAACACCAATTCGAAGTGGGTAGATTTTAACATTGTTTGCTCGCTTGTTTTCATTTTCTGATTTGAGCACAAACACAGATTATGTTTGCTCGTCACGCTTGGAGAGACGAAGCCTGCCCGCCATGGGTTAGTCCGGAGCCGACAGGTACTGAACATAGTTGTGTTAATTGATTTTTCATGAATTAATGTTCTGTATTTTATGTGCTACTGTAATGGACTACCTTCTAGAAGAGATAGAGCAGGACCCATCGCGGTTAAAGCCGCAGAAGAGAAGAAAAACGTTCCTTGCTTTGGTAAGTGTTGTCTATTGAGATATGATTACTAACGTAGATTTTGTTTTTCTTGAACTGAGATCCATCGCATGTCTGAGTACTGGGAGATTTATACTGCTAAAATGAGGGTTGGTAGTGCCGGTGTATCTCCCATCGGTGCATATAGACTTTTCTTTTATTTTCAACATGCTTTCTATTATATGTCAAACATCTACATATTTTCATTCGTCTGTGTATTTCTTTCCACACTCCTGGGTACT